AATGCGGACGTGCAGCATCAGGGGGAGAGTAGCATAGACGCCAGGATGCTGAGACAATTGTCCGAGGCTGGTCTGTCCGTGGGAAGAAAAGTGATCGCCGATCTGCCCGCCGTTGACGTGGACGTGGATCCAAAGGCGGTGGCTCTGGAGCAGGCTCTCGTTATGGCGGAGAAACTCGGTTTGCACGGTGTCACAGCCGTGAAAATGGCGCAGATAGTGTCGACGGTGGCCCAATTGGCGAGAAACATCGTGGTTCAGCAGGAACAACGGTCGGAGGAGAATCGCGTGGAGTCGAGGTTGACCAACGGTGGCGAATCTTCCTCGTCTGGGAATAACGATAAGGCGAGCGAGGAGGAGAGGGAGGGGAATAGGGACGATGAAAACACGGAATGGTTGAAAGACACGGTGAGGGTAGCGTTGGCCAGCGCCATTTTGGCGATTGTCAATCGAGCGGAGGAAAATGGGAACGATGCGAAACGAAAAGATCTCGTTTACTCGTCCATCGGTGAGGCTTTCAACGTCCTTCTGCGACAGAGGAGCGCCAACAGCATCGAGGAATCGGTGGAAGAGATACTGCGGATACTTCTCGTCCCCCAAAATCGGAGCGATCTGTGTCGATCCGCCCTTCTAGACTTGATAGACAACAAGAACAACAACAAAGTGGATATCCTGAGATCCACTTTGATCAGCCAACCTTTGAGAGAAGACGTAGTTCTCGACAGATTGTCCATGGTCCTCGAAGAGGAATACGGGAAGGATTTGATCGGGCCCGCTTTCAGGACAGTGTCGAGAAACGACCCGGAACTGGTTTCTCGAGTGCTTCGAAAGGTATCTGAGGAAGTGTCGAGCATCGTTACGGAGAGGGAAGCAGCGGAGACCGTTCACAAGGCGATCGTGCACGCGGTCAGGGAATCGAGCGAGATCCACGTTCAAGAATTGTTAAACGACAAGAACGAGGGAGAAAACGTTCGAGAGATGCTTCTTCAGGCAGTTGGGTTGGCAAGGGCTCTCGGTATGTCCAGCATCGCGAGCAGCTTGTTGGCGGTGATCAGCGACGAGAAATCGACTCGAGCGTTGGCCAGCGACAAGGTGACGTTGGACGTTCTGAAACGGTTGACCGTGATGAGGAAATTAGCCGAGGAGAGGCCACCCTTCATGAACGCCCTCACTCAATTGTGCAGCGATCCGGAATTGGCCAGGACCGATCCACGATTGAGAACTCTGGTCAGAGAGAGCGCAGCCCTGATGATAGTCCCCGAAGAAGGCCCCCTTCAATCGTCCGCCGACGTACCCTCGGTTCTCCTTCGCTCCGACAACAGCCTAGCCATGGAGGAGTTCCTCTTGAGGAGGAATCACAAACCGTCCGCCATCTTTATGATACTGAAGCAAGGTCTCCAGGCCGTGGTCCCCAGGGAAGCCTCGAGATCGGTTCTAACCGGCGAGGTAGCGTACACCGTCCTCGACGAGGATGGAATTCATCATTTCGAGCCGCTCCACGTCTTCTCCGCGCTCCAACTCGCTCGACCCACCGCGCATCGGTTTTCCATGTACTGTTGCCCCGTCGCGAGAGAAGAGGAGGTGGACGCCGAAATGTCCACGTTCACTGGCACCATCTCGATGGCCAGTAGCCTCGATGGATTTGCCGCTTACACGAAACAGGATTGTAACGGTGTCGTGTTGTCGAGGTCCGACAGATCTTTCGGATACTCTGGCAGCAGAGAGAATACACCGAGTCTGAGGAGATTGACCAACTTCCAAGACCATAGCTGCGAGCGGGTAACGTAAAAAAAAACGATAGATAAAAATTCAGTAGATGTTAAATTTTAGATTCGTAGAGGGATTAAATTGATTCAAGTAACACGTAGGATTTCCTTATCGGAATATAGTTGCTTGGCTTATGAATGTGATTTCTTGCTTAAGAACAAAAGTTAACAAAAGCCTTCTTTTTTATCTCCTTTCGCAATAGGTTCATTTTTTTTTCTTTTTATATTAAACGATATTTTACAAATATCCACGAGTTCTCCACGACTGTAATTTCGAGTCGAAGAAACGATCGCCCGAAAGTTTATTCTTCCATCGAGAACAGATATCCTTCGTAATCCTCGAAATATCTTGCAGACCAGAAACATATCGAAAACCATCAGCGAAAAAACATTCGTTGCCATTTCGTAAATCCTTTGAAATTGGCCTGTTGCAGAAATCATTGGACAATTATATCGTGGTGAAAGACTACAAGAACGAGACAGATGGATTCTCCGTGAGCATCGGCGATATAGTCGAGGCGCTTGAATATGCCGATCCAGCCAAGTAAGCAACGAAATTTTTACAATCATTTTTGTCTCGATCTGTTTTTAAAAAATCTTAATCTTTAATCTTTCGATTAAATTACCTCATCTTTAAACAATGTATTACAACTTTCTGAACAAGTCTGATCTGAAATCCCTTGTCGAGGATCGGAAAACGTTCTTTTTCGAATAATATCTTGAGAAAATTAGAGGAAAAAATATTTTGATTATATTCTTCTTCTTTTTTTTTTCTTTTTTCATTCGTCAAATTATCTTCGAAACTTGTTGCGAAACGAAAAACGATCCAGCCAAGTAAAAGCGTCTTCTTCGTCTTCCTTCCAGCTTCATAAATCCGGAGGCCAAACAAATTTCGCGCGATCGTTCGGAACGTTGACTTCGCGTTGCGTTCGTTCGCGTTTAAAATCTATTTCCGTGTGCGCAACGTGCGCCCGGCCGAAAATAATCATCGCTGCTTGTCGTATATAGAGTCTAACGCGTTCAAACGATGCCGATACCGTGTGCGATCTGTCACTTCGGATAAACTTCTTTGCCTCGTTCTAATTAATTAAGGAGGAAGAACCGTTTAACATAGTGGTTAAAGTTACGCTTAAGTTACGCTTGCATGTATTGGATTGGAATCACCATTGCAAGCTTTCTCTCTTTTTCTTAATCCGACTCACAACAACAGCGAGAAAACTATTGCCGATAAAAAAAGAAGCTTAAGCAAATTGACCGTAAAAATTAATGTATGTTAATTTTTTTTGTTTTTGGAGAAGAAAAGAGATCGAGGAACATATTACTCTTCGCAAAATGTAAACATACATACTGAATTGAATTTTCGAGTAAACACTGGAAAATTGCATTTGGGAAATTTTATTTTCAAAGAAAAAAGAAATGCATCGTATTAATAGGAACGCATTTCGAACGCAGAACACGAGGAGGTGCGCGTTCAATCTTCGTGTCAAACGGTGGACTACGAGTTGTTCCCTCTGCTTATTTTCGCGGCGATATTTTTACGCGTTTTCCCTCTTCCGTCTCTTCCCCCCGCGAATTTTGGTGAATAAACGCGTGACAAATGGAGAATTTCGATTATTCGACAATCGGACAAAATAATCTCGAACGTGTTTGGTGGAAATGCGATCTTGAATCTAACTTTTCTTCTTTCGCGCTATAAATACCCCGAGCAAACCGAGTAACAAAGAAAAACCGCGAATGCCTGCAACGACCCTGCAACATCTCGCTTTTAACGGGACTCGCGCTAACTCGCTTCGATTAGAGAGGAGAATGATGTTTAGTCTGCATGAGGCCTCGAAGTGAAATGGCGTCGATGGATAAGAGGGGGGGCGAAAAAGAAAGGAAAGATTGGAAGATGGTTGAACCGATGTTGTAGGAAGATCAAATTGGATCCTGATCTGGAGATCGGTGACGTTGGAGAAGTATTGGACAATTCAGCCGCTTGGCACAAGTTGTCGGTACGACCGCGTCGAAAGCATGCAGATCCCCGTGCTAGAAATGTCTCGAGGTCTCCCTCGGACACCAATTTGCAGAGGTAATGTATCAGGGAACGTGCGCAGCCACCGGACAAATTTGGAAAAATCGAATCGATCACAAATTAACTTTATATTTATATTTGAATTTTTGTATATCGTTCTATTAATAATATCCACTTTGATGAATAGTTAGAATAAGTTAGAAGTATGGAATATTTATTGGGGATAACTTTAACCACGAGAGGAATCAAAAAGATAGAAACGAATTCAGAAACGAAGAGGAGAAAGAGGAAAGTTTAGAAGAATTTTCCACAAAAATCGTCGGTTTGATTGGATTGGAAT